AAGGATATTGATGTATGAAATTCATGCACGAGATGAAAGAAATGCAAGGATCGTCCAGAGGATAAAGTACACAAGAAATTAGGAGCAAAAATGAAGAAAAGGGAAAAGAAGTGAAAAACTGGAAAATGACCAGCACGGATCCGAGCTCGGATCCGTGTGAATCAAGAGCGATCCGAGCCCTCGTCTGTACTTCTGGAGCAGTGCATCTGAGGCCAGATGATCCGAGCTCGGATCATTAAAGAAAGGTCTCGGATCAGCCTTGATCTGAGCTCGGATCGTTCTGCACCCCTCGGATCCGAGGCTCGGATCTGCCTCTCTTCTGGAAGTGGCACAGCCGTTTTTTCTCACTTTTCACACAACTTTCCAGCTATCTTGAGTGAGTGGATTCGGTGGCACATGCTTCTTGTGAGAACCCGTACTTTTCTTAATTGCTAATATTAATTACACGCTTTTCCACATTTTATTTATTCAAAAATTGTGAAAACAATTTTTATAAGTAAATATAGTTTTTAGATGAGTTTTCTAGTATCGGTTAGATTTTTAGAAAATAAGAATGTATATCGGACGTGGGACCCACTAGTGCGGAAAGTTCGGTAAAATTCGGCCAACTAGGTGAAGATTTGGATACTGGGTTTAATTTATCGGTTGTTATGAGATATTTAGAGGTTACCAAGTGGTTGGTGTGAGAGAGAGAAAAAGTTAGGCAAGTAATTAATGAAAGTGACATGTGTCACTTAGAGATTCATTCCTACATTTGACTTACTATTCATCCTTTTACCATTTACTAAATAAACCCAAAAATTGACCAAAAATCTTCCATTTTTCCCAAGCTTATGGCCGAACCTCTCTACAAGGAAGAAAGAAAGAAAAAGCTCTCCAAGGTTTGCTTCAATCTTGCTCCAATCTACCAAATCAACCATTGAATCTTGGTTTTGCTCCATAGGAACCCTTAAGGGAGTGATAGTGAGTTGTTTTGTGGAGTTGTATGGAAGGCTAAAGTGATTAGTTGCTCCCTCTCTTGTGTTGCTAAGGTAATTTGAGAAGGACCCCTCTCCTCCCTCTAATGATGCTTAAATCATGATTGGTGGTAGTATAAGATGCACTTTTATGGATTATATCTTGATTTTTGGTTGAATTGATGAAGTTTATAATTTTTGGGGATTTTTCTGTTTTCATATGAATATGATTATGTGGTCATGTATGATGATTGGAAATGGTATTTAAGGAAGCTAGAAGGTGGAAAAAGTGGTTAATTGCAAGCAATTTCTGTTTTGGAAAGAAAATTGAAAAGTTAGGGTTTTAATGTTCTACATTCTGCCCGGTTTTGTAGCTCATATTTAGAGGCCGAATTGGTCTTGGATTAAAACATGAAAGTTGTAGGGAATAATATTTAGAGGTTCCTGCAAAATTTCAGGTCAATCGGAGTAGCGTAACTTGAGAAAAGACGGAATTACCCTTGCTGCCCTGGTTTTACCCGAATTTGGGAATTGCTTCTGTAATTGGTTATTTTGGTTAGGAATGCTTCCGAATTGGTTGTTGAGGTCTTCTGATGAAATGTATCCCTGTTTCGTATCTTTCAAATGGCTTTAGAATTTCTGGATTTGGACTTAGGTAGCCTGATTTATGCTGTTTGCACCAGAATGCGTTCTGTGAACCTGTTTTTACGGTTCTGGTGTAGTATCTTGCTTTTTTTACCTAGTTACACTAGAAACTGGGCTGAGTGACCTTCTGTAATATTGTATCCCTATATCTTAGCTTCGAAATGGTGTATCTTGCACCTTCATCCGATAATCGTAGTGCCATTGGTGCCAATACCGCATAATGACGTCAAAAACTGTTTTTTTTCCGGGTTAACACTTACTCCATTTCCGGATTTTTCTGGTTTCCTCTATTGCTTGTGTGTGCTTATGGAGCCCTATTTTGGTGATATTTGGAATTGGTTTATGACTTGTAATCGAGTCTTATCGTGCTTATTTGAATATCTTAGGGCTTGACTTTCATTTCCGGACTTTTCCCTAGCTTGCATTGTACTTGTACTACTTGGAGCTTACTGAACGGCTATTGAATGAACTTATTTTGTGTGTGACTTTGGGACTGGCTGAGGAAAATAATGAAGCCATGACGGCTGGAAAAGTAAGCAAATTTAGGGGAAGTGCTGTCCAATTTTCTAGGCCGTTTGGTTCCTTTAAGTTTGAATTGCCTTTTGGGTAGAAATGAAGGGCTTTTGGGTTGTTTGAGCCTCGGTCTTCATGTTACCTTTTCGTTTCCAAAAAAATCATGTTTTGAACCCTTGCATTAATATTTATTTGGCGAGGCATACGACTGGTAGTCGAGCCTCAAATGTGCATTCTGTATACTCGATTTTTGAAAGTGGAACCTTCAATTGTTTTCCTTGGATTATTTTAGGGTTTCTTGGTGATTAAAGCTCTCTTTTGGGAGGTATCTGTACTGACCCCGGTGAGTGTTCCACTACCTGCTACCCATTATGTGAAATGTCTGAATATCTGAAATACTTGATTTATGACTGTTGGAGCCAAATACTGTTTTGATAAAAGGGAGGCGAGGGTGTACTTTATCACACTCGTTCTCTTGTCTGTTCATATGCCAATTTTGAGTGCGTATCTGAATCTGCTATCTGTATCTGTATCTGTTATCTATATCTGGATCTGTATCTATTCTGACGTCGTTTGGAAGCTTGTATCCAACGACCTTTCTGTGACCTCTGAGCTCAACACCTGTGGCCAGTTACTCGAGTCGGGCCGGCAAGGGCCTGGTCGATTAGATAACGAACCACGGTAGTCTGTTTTGGGATCTTTGGGTATTGAGAACCTTGATTCCGGTATTCTCGAGTATTACCATTTCTGATCTGATTGGATTTCGGGCCCGGTGGGAGTATGTGAGGTGGAAGGAGTCGAAGAAAGTGGAGTCTACGGTATTGGTTACTTCTGTAGCGTTGACGGAGTGTCAACTATTATTTCGATCAAGTTTCGGTGGCGCAAATGGGAATTTGGCTCCTGAGAGCCACCTGTATCCTTCCGATTTGAATCATTGGTTCCTTTACTTTACATCTGGCATGTGTACCTGATTTGTTAAATGTGAAATGCCATGAGTTTACTGCTATATGTCTGGTACCTCATTGAGCGCAAGCTCACCCCTTTCTGTTCTTTTTTATTTTCCTTACAGGAAAATAAATACTTTTGGACTGGATTTGACAATTGGTTGCCGAATTGAGCTAGTTGGACATATCTTTTGTATAGCTCATTGATTGAAACCCTAAATATACTTTTGGGTCCATTTCCCTTTTGATTTGGCAAATCGTACTTATATCCATTTTTGAATCACTTTGGTATGCCACTTTGGATTGTATATGCTTAATTTCAACATGTAAATATTTGCTCGATGTTTGGTTGGGTTTTGACGTGTCGGTTACTATTCATGGCCGACTCCGGTTTTTTTTTTTTATTTTGATATTTTGGCTTGTTTCCACGCGTTGTATGTTCCGGAATGTATTAGATCGCTCGAAACTGAACCGTTAGTCCTGGCGAGAGTTGGGCAGGCAGTCCGCTAACCCTTTTGGTTCGCCTTAGGAGAAGGTGGGGCTGTCACACTTCTGCAACAAAAGGGAAGACAAAATGAGTTATTGACAAGTCAAAACAACATTTCTTTTGACTTTCTTTATAAAATCTGAGTTGTTGGAATCATGAAGGAGAAAAATGTGTCTTTCTACCACCTTTTATGCAGAGACACAAGAAAAAGTCAGATATCACCATACGTAGCTAGTTTTTCTTCTGGCAACAAGTTTATCTCTAGTTAGGAGTTCTTGGGGAAGCATTTGGAGTTTTTACTTGTAATCATCTTGTACAAGAACATAGCAGAAAATTGAGGGCTTCACCATCAATTGGCTAAGCTTTCCTTTATCTTTCTTGTATTTGTACTTTATGATGTTTTGCATTAATAAACTTGTGAGTGTGATTGTTAAATCATTCATGAGTAGCTAAACTTCTTAATCTAGGGAGTAGATGAAACTTATGGCTAAATGATATGAATTGAATGTGATTTACACTTGTTAATTCTTGTATTAACTTGTCTACTTGTGCAGTTGTGATTACTTGTTATTGATTGATCACCAATAGCATGTTTATAGTTGTTATTATTCAATGAGAATTGGTAGTAACAATAGAAACACATGAGTAGAGCTTAAGTTGTATGTTCATGAAAATAGAGATACACTTAAGTGGATTACTTAGCATTTCATGAAAGAAAACAGAGTAGAACTAGTATTTCACCATGAAAATAGGGAAAACTGAACTACTCTAGGCCAATTCATCATGAGAATGAGACTTGGTAATATTGGAAATGAATCTCTGGTTAAACAAGAAGAATAACAAGAGGTAAGTCCATTCATTTGTGTTGTTTATGTCATAAGTGGAATCTACATCCCTAGATTTATCCTTGAGTGAAAATTCTTCATTTGCATTTAGCATTTGTGATCAGATTTGTAGACAATAGCAATATACTTTCTCTGCTGAAATTCATTCATAAGTCTAAATAATAGAGAAAGTAAGGATCTAGTAATTGGTTAATTTGCTCCTTGTGGGATCGACCCGATACATACCCTATATTACAATTTTGGCATGTATACTTGCAATTTAACGGGTATCAGATCGGATTTAAACTTGTATTGATATAAAAATCCCATCAAGTTTTTGGCGCCGTTGTTGGGGAGCGGCAATATTAGGGTCTAATAATCTCTATTAATTTAGATATTTTCATTGTTTTTATTCAAGTTGTTTATAGTTGATTTTAACAATTAAAATTGCAAAAATTTCTCTTATTTTTATTTGTAGTGTATGCACCGATCAAATCGAGAAGTTGCACTTTTCGATCCTAAAATTGAGAGGACACTATGGAGACAAAGGAAAAATACACCGCATCAAGAGGAACAAGAGGTTTGGCAGCCGATAGAAGAAATCTTGATAGAATTACCATTTGAGGAATAAATGGCGGAAAATGACCCAAATAGGCGAATTCTACGAGATTTTACTTTACCGGGAACACAAGATTCTCAAACTAGCATTGCAATGCCAACGGTAAATGCTAATAATTTTGAGATTAAACCATCACTGATTCAAATGGTACAACAATCTTAATATGGAGGTAATGCTATCGAAGATCCAAATTCTCACTTGTCAACATTTCTTGAAATCTGTGATACAATTAAGTTCAATGGTGTTAGTGATGATGCAATTAAACTTCGATTGTTTCCATTCTTGCTAAGGGACAAAGCCAAGGTTTGGCTACAATCTCATCCTCTTAACACTTTTACAACTTGGGCTGAATTAGCTAAGACTTTTCTTAATAAATTCTTTCCACCTGAAAAAACTGCTAAACTTAGAATGGATATAACTAGTTTCTCTCAACAGGAAGGAGAGACATTGTATGATGCTTGGGAGCGTTATCGGGAATTGCAACGAAGATGTCCTTATCATGGTTTACCAGATTGGCTAGTAGTCCAAATATTTTACAATGGTCTCACCTATCCAACAAAGATGCATGTAGATGCGGCAGCGGGAGGAGCATTGATGGGAAAGACAGCTGAGGAAGCTCAACAATTGATTGAAGAAATGGCTGCTAATAACTATAAATGGGCAAACGAACGAGGTAGTACAAGGAGAACCGCAGGTATGCTCGAAATAGATACCTTGAATATGTTAAGTGCAAAAATGGATAATGTGGTTAAGATGCTTAATAGGCACGTTGGTTCTAGCTCTAATCAAGGAGTAGTTGTTGCATGTTGTACTACTTGTGGCGGAGATCATGATGATTCTATGTGTTCTAGCAGCGAACATGTTCAATATCTTAACAATTACAACCGTCCACCCCAAAACAATCCATACTCCAATACCTATTATCCAGGATGGCGTAATCACCCGAATTTTGGATGGAAGGATCAAGGGAACCAACAAAGACCAGTTAATCCACCGGATTTTCAACCGAAGCAACCACTTCTGGAGTCCAAACCAACTTGGGAATTGGCAATTGAGAAGCTGGCAAATGTATCAAATGATAAAATTGAAAAGTTGGCCAGTGCCACTACTCAACGGTTTGAAAGAATTGAAGGAAGGATGGATCAACTCATCAATATGTACAGGAATGTTGAGGTCCAATTAGGGGAAATAGCAAATGCGGTTAACAATCGCAACTAAGGGGATTTACCTAGCAAGACTGAGGTGAACCCAAGGGAGCATGTGAAGGCTATAACACTCCGTAGTGGTAAGGAAGTAGGTGAGCCGCCTGTAGTTGAATGTGAGAGAGAATGTGAAAGAAGAGAGAACAAGCAGTTGAGTGAGTTAGGAGAGGATAGTAAGAAAATTAAAGGGAAAGAAAAGGTGGAAGAAAATGATCTACAAATTGGAGATACAACACCAATTCCACCGTTGCCATTTTCACAAAGATTGAAGCCTTCGAAAAATGACAAAGAATTTGAAAAGTTTGTCAACATTTTCAAACAATTACATATTAACATTCCTTTTGTTGATGCTATTTTGCAAATTCCTTTATACGTAAAGTTTCTCAAGGAGATAATGACTAAGAAAAGGAAGTTAGTAGATAGTGAGACAATTGTATTAACGGAAGAATGTAGTGCCATCATACAAAACAAATTGCCACAAAAGTTGAAAGATCCGGGGAGTTTCACAGTTCCTTACACTATCGGTAATGTAGAATTTTCTAAAACACTAAGTGACCATGGTGCAAGTGTTTCATTGATCCCTTTAACTGTGGCGAGGCAATTGGGGTTGAAAGAATTAAAACGTACTAACATTTTCTTGCAATTGGCTGACAGGTCTATTAGACATCCAATGAGCATTTTGGAGAATGTGCTTATTAAAGTGCAGAAATTCATTATTCCTGTTGATTTTGTTGTTTTAGATATGGGGGAAGATGTCAATGTACCTATTATACTTCACAGTTCCTTACACTATCGGTAATGTAGAATTTTCTAAAACACTAAGTGACCTTGGTGCAAGTGTTTCATTGATCCCTTTAACTGTGGCGAGGCAATTGGGGTTTGTGAGGACTCGCAAATTCCTTGTATTTTTCCTCAAAAATACCCTTTTATTTGAAAATTAGTATTTATCAAATGCCACTATCCAAATATTTCACACTAAGAGTAAATAGACCTAGAAAATAGGGTTTTACGCTTCAATTTTAAGTTTGGAGCAAAATTAGGGTTTTCGCGATTTTTAGCCGGATGAATTTTCGGTACAGAGTAAGAATTAATTTGGGGATTAAAAGTGACTTTTAAGTGAGAAATAAGATGTGACTAGTGGTAATGGTATAAGGTTAGTGAATGGGAAGTAAAAACCCTAGTACGTGAGTTTTAAGAAAAACGGCGCGATCCGGCGGGTCCCGCGCATTACCGATTGAACGCACCACTTGACCACCATTTTTCTTATCCAACAAGTTTGTTGACTTTTGTACATAATATCTTCTTAAATTACAGCAAGGTTGACCGAAAATTGTGGCTCAAAGGCAAGGGAAGAAAGAGAAAAATTTTGTGGCCAAGATTAGTCCAAGTGTTTGCCCAATTTGTGGACACCATTAGTCCTAATCCTCTTGCTTTATTATAAGGCAACTAAGCTCCATTTCTCTTCATATTTCTGCCAAGGAGCCGAGAGAGAGAGAGGGGAAGAACAAGAGAGAAATTTCTTCATTTCATCTTCAAATCCAACAACTTAGTGAGAAAACAAACAAAGTAAACCGATTAAACTTGTTCTTGAGTGATTAGCTAGTGGCTTGTGGTGTGATTTTTGAAAGAGAAAGCTTGGGCTACTTGTAGTGACTTCTAGTCAAGGTAAGAGAGCTTATCTCTCTAAGTTTTACTTTCAATTTTGTTAAATTAAGCTTGGCAACTTGCTCTTGTGGCGAGATCATGGATGATGAGCATGTTTTAGAAGTTTTTCCCAATTTATTTGATGAACTAGGGCTTGTGGAAATTCTGCCCAAATTGTTGTAAGATGCTTATATGTTGCAATTGAAGTTTTATAAGGTGTTGTGGTAGTGATTAGACCAAGAAATTAAGGAAAGTTGCACTAGAAACTCAAAATTTCCAAAATCTGGAAAATTTGTTCAACATTCTGTCCGAATTTGTATCTGTGTGTTAGAGGCCGAATTGGCCTTAGCGCAAAGAATAAAAGTTGTATAGAATGGCATTTTATAAGTTCCTACAAAATTTCAGCTCAATCGGAGCAACGTAGGACGTGAAAAGTCCAAAATACCCTTACTGTTCTAAGTATTTCCCAGCAGTCCGTTTCTTCAGTTAAGTCCAGTTTATCACATTTTTTGACCAGGATCCATTCTGATTTAGCTCTGGGCCAAAACATGAAAGTTGTAGTGTTATGAATTAGCTTTAAAATGCTTCTAAGAACACCTGATTCGGACTTGTGTACACTGAGTTGTGACCATTACAGTGTTCTGCGTTTAAGCAGCCGACGAATTGGTTTCTGGTGTAGTAATTCGAGAATTTGACTAAGTTACAGTAGGAACTGGACTAAGTGACCTTCATGAATGTTGTATCTCTGTGTCTTAGCTTCGAAACGGCATAGGTTTCGCTTTAATCCGATAAGCGTAGCCTCGGATAAGTTATTTCCGCATTCGTACGTCAAATCTGTCTTGTGCTAAGTTGAATTTCTGCATTTGTTATCATTGTAATTCTTGTTATTATGATATTGTGAGCCTATGGAACGGCTCTTGACATAAATTGCTGATATGTATGATGTTGGGTTGTGTTTGAGAAAAACAATGAAGCCTAAATGGCTGGAAAATTAGGTAAACACAAAGGGCATGCTGCCCGAATTTTTACTCGAGGGCTAGAATACTATATTTTCGACTTGGGTGAAGGTTAAGTACTTAACACTTGAACTAGCGAGGACTTTGGCTATTATGTTTCTTGAGTGTTAAACGTTAGGACTTGACTAAACTTGTACCCTTGGGAAATGAAATAATGATTGCTCGAAGTACGTTTTCCTTGTACTCTCGACTCACATGACAATTTCAAGTATAAATGTTACAAAGCTTTATCGTTTAAAAAGCGAGCAAGTGTTTCATGACTACTGTCCGAGTGAATTTCAATTTCTTGATTCTTATTGAACGAAACATCTAAGTTTCGAACTCTAGTCATGTTTCAAAGTTCTCAAATTGAGTTTTATCGCAGATTTGGACTCCGAACTCGGAGTATAACCTGAAAGTGACCAGTAAAAGCACTATATCTTTTGGTGAGTGCTTTCAAATACTGAATTGAACTTGATACTTGTACTTGATACGTGCCAATATGATTACATGTCACATGCGTGAATTGTTAGGGCAAGAGTGTACTTTATCGCACTTGCCCTTACATGATATACACTTGTTTATTGTTGCAATTGACTTGACATACTTGTTATGGTGCGCGCACTTCCTGGAATTCCAGACACCCTGTGACGAGTTACTCTAGTCGGGCCGGCAGGGGCTTGGTCGATTGGGTAACGAGCCCTGGGTCTCTTGCTTTGTCGAGTGGAGTGATATCTCCTCGACTAATCGGTATACTCGAGTATTACCACCCGTGTTTATTGAGGATTTTGGGCCCAGTAGGGGGTGTGAATGGTGGACGGAGAGTAGTGTAAGTGGGGTTCTACTGGATTGGTTGCTTTACTTGAAAGTTGACGGAGTGTCAACTACTATGTGATCAAGCTCCTGATGATGAATGGAAGTTGGCTCCTGAGAGCCATCCGTATCCTTATGCTTTGGAATGATTATTGTTTATTGGATTATAGTGTCTTCTGAAAACTTTTACGCTCACTCATTTTGAGATTGCTACTTGAAGTGTTATTGCTCACTTTTATGAACTCTTCATGCTCGTTGCTTTCCTATATCGAAAATTTGTACTTATAATAATGGTCAATTTGCTATTTGGAACCTCACTGGGCTTTTAGCTCATACCACGCTATTTGTTTTCCTTACAGGGGGTACGAGTGACGCGTGAGACCTGTAAAAGACTAGCGTAGCCTTTTGTTTTGACTTTTGACTTTTGGTCTTGTACTCGCGCTATTCCTCGAAGGGAACATGTTGTACTTGGATTGTATACGTTTTGAACTAGTTTGGTGTATTGAGGCTTTGTACCTCGATTTCTATCAATGTAAATTATAAACTTGAATTGTGAATGTTATTTATGGTTCATGGATGTGTGTACATGACTCGATTGAGATAGTGAGTGAGTCCTGGCGAGAGCTGGGCAGGCGGTCCGCCGAACCCTTTGGTACGCCTTAGGGGGAGGTGGGGTCGTCACAGATGGTATCAGAGCTCTTATTGAGCTCGTGCCGGGAGAGGGTTCTCGGACTGTGGGGATTGACTTGTTAAGTATGGAACAATTGTCTATTGTTGGGGACCTTAGATATGTATGTTGGGTAGGAATCTCTAATAGGGTGATTTGCTCTTGAGCCTGGCCAGCTTGAGTGGTGAATTATCATATTTTCGGATTCTTGTCCCCGAATACCAAAGAGTGACATCTTTACGCTCAGTTGAGATCTCGTGTAATATTCGGATAAGTTTGGATGGTGAAAGCAAAGGCACAGGGAATACGAATAGTCTGGACTTGAAAAATATTGAAGATATTTATGGGATTTGGGATCCTTCTTATTCACGTGTTTCGAGCCTTGATTAAGTGTAGTGCCTGAGCGATACCTAGGGTTAATGCTCTATAAGTTATGTGACTTGTTATGATCGAATGTGTTGTATTGCCTTGTTTTATGATTTAGAGGGGTTTATGATTTGCAATATTCTGTTTTATGTTGTTTATATTTATATAGTTATTTAGTGGTTATATTCTATCATTAATTAGTTGGTTATATTGCTATAGTTGGTTAGTTGCGAAACATGGAGGATAAAAGAAGTCGGACCAAGAAAGCCAACCGAGAACGCGGTTCTAGGCGAGGCCGTGAGAGTGAACAAGGACAGGAACCGGTGCCTGAACCGAGAGAGGAGAGGGAGGCAGCGGTTGAGCAGCAACCTGAACCCCAGAATGCCGGGGGAGATCAGGTGGCTACTGCCATCCAACAGATGACTAATATTTTAGCCCGATTGGTGGAACAACAGGGTCAAGGTCCTGTAAATCAACCTAGGGATCCCGAATTGGGGCAGGATAGAGCCTTGGAGAGATTCCAGAAGTTCT